TCCTTCCTTCCTTCCTTCCTTCCTTCCTTCCTTCCTTCCTTCCTTCCGTCGCTCACTTTCTCTCCCCCTTCTCTCTCTCTGTTTCTCTTTGTCTGTCTCTGTCTCTGTATCTCTCTCTCTCTCTCTCTCTCTCTCTCTCTCTCTCTCTCTCTCTGCTGTTTGTATATCAAGGCAGGGTTTCTCTGTGAAATAGCTCTGACTGTCCTAGAACTCACATTGTAGACCAGGCTGGCCTCAAGCACAACAGAGATCCACCTGCCTCTGCCTCCCAAGTGCTGGGATTAAAGGCGTGCACAATCACTCCCAGGCAGCCTTAGTCCTTTTTGTTTCTGACCTACTGGGTTGTCAGTGAGGTAAGAAAGTTGTTATGTGTGTTTGTGTGTGTGTACACAAAGTATTTTCTTAGTACAAAAGAAATGTCCCTAGTCTCTGGATATCATGGAGCTGAGACAGCATATACTCATTGAAGAAGATGCTTATATACCTTTAAAAACAAAAACCAGAACAATCTTCCCACAGTATTTTTAGGGAGCTTTGATTGGAAACACTGCATAGAGAACTAACAGCCCTGCCTGGGGCTTCACTGCAATAGCTACCGCAGTACTTAAAGCTCTTGATCCTGCTATACTAAAATGACATCTCCATTTGACATGAGTCACCACCAAATGAGCATGAGTCTGTTACTAAGGACCTGGCCCAAATTAGAACGAGTGCGTCAGGGTAGTGAAGGGCTTCTTCTATCCAATGAGAAAAACAACTTCTCTTTTTCCCTATATAGGAAAAGTTTGTTATAAATCCTCACCCACCAATAAAATGTCTTCCCACACAGAATGTTGAAAAGCTCAGCCCTCTGGAACACAGGATAAAGACACTTCAGTGCATATGCCCTGGAGAGAACAGGAGGGAGGGAGGGCTGCTCACAACAGGAATAGCTACTCCCCAGCAGTAAGGAGCACATGAAGGCACAAGAAGGAGAGAAGCGACTTCTGAGAGGACCCTGAATTATGTGGAGAACTCTGACAGGACTGAGATGGCACCACTGACAGAGCGAGCGAGGGAAGCACAGTCGGGACGTAGGAAACAGCACATAAGATAGAAAAAAAGACAAAATGACCAACCAGTGCTCACACTGCTGAATACAGGCCGTCCCCACCCCCAAGGCTCACTGTGTCCCTCCACAGAGGCAGGGCTGAGGAGAGGGCCGAGTCCACTGGGGTCTTGTGCAGCCCTAGCTCCATCTGTGGGTCCTGGTTGTTACTATAGTAATTTGTGTATTAAACCAAGCTTAGGGCTCAAGGGAGATACTTCTCTTGCTTGTTGCCAAGTAGTTCTGGATTCTTCTTTAATTTTAAGCCTCTCTATTGCTTTGCAGCATAATTGTAAGATCAGGGAAATGGAATCAAATAATTTTCTGGTCTTTTCATTTTAAAAGTTCACGTTTGAGTCATGTGGTAGAAGTGTTAACTTGTGCATATCTTAATATATAATTAGTTTTGAAAAGTGAAAAAAGTGCCTTTTCCTCTTGGCCCCCCAAGTTAAAAATCCAACATGGGGTACTATAGGTAATTATGTTTCATTGCATAGCATGATATACATATGGGTTTCTGTTTGTTTTACTTTTAGACTTTAATATAGAACCCCTCAATTTCATTCCAAGTAAAGTGCTTAGGTCTGACCAGCCTTAGCAATATAGGACATGAGCTCTGTCTTTTCTTCCTATTAAGAAGAAATCAGTTGTAGGATCATCTAAGGACTCTATCTAAGGTTAGCTCTCCATTGGGAATGTTCCCTGGAGACAGATACGCAGTGACCACTGCCTGCGCGTGCAGAAGGGATGGATGGAATTCATCCCAGTTTCTGTTTCCTTTGTAAAACTTGTTTTCAATTCTCCAGGTCCAGGCTCGAAGCTAACAGGTAGTAGGGAAAAAAGAAGTAATACTCACCTGCCAAATCCAGCAGCAATTCTAGAAAGGGGCCAGACAGCCACAGAATGAATTTCCTTTAGTGTTTCATTGTGTCCCACAAAATTATTCCTCAGGAGGGATCTGGGTTTAGAATTGAGCAGAGTCCAACAAGGTAGCTCGAGTAAGTGTGTGTGTGTGTGTGTGTGTGTGTGTGTGTGTGTGTACATACAGTTTAGAGAATGTGTACCCAGAAAGAGAAAAGGCCAAAGTGTGTGTGTGTATACAGTTTAGATAATATGTACCCAGAAAGAGAAAAGGCCAAAGTGTGTGTGTGTATACAGTTTAGATAATATGTACCCAGAAAGAGAAAAGGCCAAAGTGCCCTTCAGCCACAGAGACTGGATTGAACTCAGCTGGTGTTCACAAGGACGTGGGCATACCTCCCTGGCTGCCTTCTGCACAAACCGCTCATCTGTGACACGGAAGGCCCGGCAGAGAGCCTCAGCAGGATCATGGGGGAACATCTCCTGGCGCACTAAGTTAACATGTAGGTGAACGGAGGCATAAATGGCAGCGTCCACTCCCCCGTGGCCATCAAACACTGCAAAGTAAGCTTGTTCCTCCTGGTCCTGTCAATAAAGACACAAAACAGTTAAGGAATGGGGCACAGTACCATCCAAATGAGCCAATGCCCTGGAAATGTCCGTCCTCTACTGTGTCATTCAGATAAGGAGACTAATGTTTCCCTTTGCTGACACGCCCAATGAGCTGCCGCAAGCTGCGATGCTCGGGCACCTGTTTACACACAGCGCCCTGGAACACATCATGCCCAGTAGTGCAGGCGGAGGGCCCTCCCTGTGAAACTTGTTGTGTACCATGGAAACACCCAAATGCATTTGCTTCAAAACCATAGTCAGAGGTTGGGAGGAGGTAGAGGAAAGAAGGCATGGGGAAGAAGTGAGCAAAAGCTGTTCCGGATTGAGTACTTTGTTCAAAATACCAGAGAACATTAAAAAAATAACTGGCTTTCCAGCACGAGACCAGTTGTGTGCCGGGTATCTAAAATACATGGAGATAAAGACAGCCAAGTTAGACCTCTTTCCCACACCGTTCCTGCTCACACTGAGTTCCTACCATAAATAAGTCTCTAAACTTGTTAGCCAATCTCAAACTACGTATCAGATGCCCAAGTGCCCTGTGCGGCTGGCACCTTTGCTTCAGCTCAAATCTAAACATCAGCGTCTCATTTCTCAGAAAGGCCGGCTGCCAGCAGTGGCCCTTCTACCATCTGTTGTGTCTTGAGTTCACTCTCCAAGTGCCAAATAGTTGGCTGCTCTCTTCATTTTCAGCTCGGATGTTTGAGTCTTAGCTCTGCTGGTAACCTGCAGGTCACTCAAGTTTCATGGTTACGAAGTTCCCTTGAGGCAGCGGTAGCTAATGGCTTCATTTGGGAATCTTTATATTTTTTTCCTTGAGAGTCTGGGTTCTGTCATCCTGAACCAATCTTTTCTTTGGGGGATGTTTTTGCTTGCTTGCTTGCTTGCTTGCTTGAGTTTTTTTTTTTTTATTTTATTATTATTTTGTTTTTTGTTTGTTTTCTCGTTTTTGTTTTTACCTATTTGTTTATTTTTGCAGCAGTGTCAGGTAGCCCAGGTTGGACGCAGATGTGTTGAGTGGACCTCATTCTCCTGTCCGCCTTCACACCTGTGTCTCTGTGCTTTGGAAATAGCTCTAGCAGAAGCACTGCATCTAGCTGTCCTGAGAATAATGGTAACACTCAGAAATGGTGACGTCCTGTCTACTTACAGGCACTACCTCTAGTGTATCTTACATTTCAAGCAAAACAGTCTATGGTACCATCGAAGACTGACGAAGCAGAACTGTCTAAAAATAAATCCTGACACTTATAATTTATATCTGGACTAAAGTAGTACACAATTCCCAGCAACTCAGTATAACATCAGAAGAAACAGCAGCCAGGAGGGGTCTTGGCGAAGTGAGCATAAAGTCAGGGCTGTCGCATTGGTCGTGGAATCTCAGCATGCGTGATGCTGTATGTTTCACTGCACAAACTTTCTTTTAAAGCAGTGTAGTTTCTTAAAACAAAAAAAAATGATAATTTATTAAAATAAAAAAATAAAGAAAATGAATGTCACTGTAACCCCACTATCATAGATAGCCCTGTATCTATACATTTGTGGCTGGGTTTTGTTTTGGTGATGGTGTTTATTAGGACTTTGGGTATAACGTTCTACATCTGTGTGTACGTGTTGGGGGGTGTGTGAGTGTGCTTTGGTTTCTGACACAGGGTCTTGCCTTGTAGCTATTCCCCTGCCTCAGCCTCTAAAGTCCTGGATTACAGGTGTATACCACCACACCTGGCTCTCTGCATTTTTTTTTTTGTTTTTTTGTTTTGTTTTGTTTTTTTGTTTTTCGAGACAGGGTTTCTCTTTGGCTTTGGAGCCTGTCCTGGAACTAGCTCTTGTAGACCAGACTGGCCTCGAACTCACAGAGATCCTCCTGCCTCTGCCTCCTGAGTGCTGAGATTAATGGTGTGCACCACCACCGCCCGGCTGTCTCTGCGTTTTTAAAGTAAGGATCACACTATATATGAAATTTTATGTCCTGCTCTATGTCATTAACATTTCTGCATGTCACGTGTTATTCAAAGACAGTGTCTTGAATAAATTAAAATACATTTCCTTTAATGATTTTTAGATCATTTCTGATTTATTTTTATTAATAATGTTGAAGCACTTATCAAACACATACTTAAGACTTTGCTGTATTTTCGTTGTGATAAAGAATTTTAAATGAAATAAAGTTATCAGATCAAGGGTATAAGAATTTGTAACACTAAACAATCATAGCTCAGTCAGTTTCAGTCCCTGCTTTGGTTCATCAGGGTGGCTCTTTCTGAGACAGGCCTCTGCCTGTTTTTCACATTTGGAGACAAATGAAAACCAGCCAGGTCATCATCCCGAATAACATCCTTCAAGTAGGTGTAGTTTATGGGGACTTTTAGGAGGTAGCCTTTGCACCCCATGTGCACAGACACAGCACTGGGCACAAAGGTCACTGGCTGCTGTCTTTCTAAGCCCCAGCTGTTAACCTGCATTGCTCTTTAGCCCTGGCAGTCCATGAAGTTGAAAGTTAGTAGCTACGTGAAGGAAATATTATGCTGGGTATAAATTACTACACCGCAATTTTCAAGTTATAGACTTAGAAGAAAGAAAGGGTGAGTGACAGGCAGAGGAAGCAAGCCCACCTTTGTTTGCATTAGCATAATGCGCTTACTAGAAAAAGACGACAGCAAGAACGTGGTTATTAAGCTGACACGGCTCATATGGATCTAATCTGTCAGTCACAGAGACTTGTGGAATGTAATTCCAACTACTTCCTACCTCAGAGACCCAGATTTTAAAAAGAAAATCACATGTACTCAAGTTGTCTCAGCCTTAAATTTATTCTTTTATGTTGTGTTTTTTGTTGCTTCAGCAACATGGTGTTGTTCTGAGAATCCACTAAGTCACTTGACTTTACTACAGAAATATTCTCCTTTTAAAGAACTATATTTCAGTATAATGGTTTTCTTTGGTTACTAATAAAATGCTTTAGAAACTTCCAAAGAGACTGGTAACTTCCCTTGCTTTCCCAACTGGCTGGCTGTCCAGGAGAGGTTTTTACTCTCCCAATTTTGAACCATGTGAGCCTATTAAAAATAACATAATGTTCCTGGTTTGGAATGATCTGAACTTACTCAAAATAACAAAACAGTTCTATTTTGTAATGCAGTCCACCTCCCTCCGTCCGGCGAGTGACAGACCATGTTGCACCAGCTCCCAGAATGCCCTTTACCTCCAGGTTGAAGAGCATATTAAAGTCAGGGATGCAGACATGCTTGTCCTCCATTTTCCTTCGCATGTTTTTGATGGCATGGATTGACGTTTCATAATAAATCTGAGGCCTCCTGCGCAGAGGGAAGTCCTTCACCCAGCTGCAGCAAATCTCGTGTAGTTTGCTGAAGACAGAACGGGCCAGTTTCACTGTCTCAATTTCTGTGAAGGAAACAGACCCCCGGTGAAGAGCCATGTAACACTGCTTTCCTCTCCCCTGCTTGGGAAGGACAGAAGCAGCCACCCCAGCCATGTCCTTCTGAACTCAAGGAAAGGAACACTGCTTCTGAAGAGAAGAAATAACAGCCTGCCAGCTGCCACCAAGATACTGTATCCCTGGCAGGGGACCTGCAGTCAGGGCAGGCTTCTTCAGTGTGATCTCCAGCCCTCTGCCCTCTAGGCCAGAGCAGCCTTCCCTGGACGCCGCTGTGGTTATTGGGTGGAGAGCCAAGCCTTCTAGGCTTTGGAGAGCGCCTGAAACATGAGCGCTGGTTATGCAGCCAAAGGAGCAGGAAAGGCAGATGAGAACAGCTGGCGGACTGGCGGCTCGCTCTCACTTCCTCTTCCTGATCGCCTCTTATGTCTTCTCTCTACTGTAGTGAACAGACCATCATTTGGAACTGAGTTACATATTTTCTTTGATATATTTATTATTATTAAAGTTTTAAGCAGTAGTTTAGCCAATGGGGTAACTAACATGCTAAAGGTGTGTTTACTCCGGAGGACAACCTGAATTCTCTCTGTGTGTATTGTGGGAGTCTTCACCTAAGTGCACTACTTTGATTTTTAAAAAAATATTATTATTATGGTCTCATTATGTAGCCCTGGCTGTCCTGGAACTCACACTATAGACCAGGTTAACCACAGAGGCGCCTGACTCTACCTCTGGAGTGCTAGGATTAAAGGCTTTATTTTCAATTGCTTATTTATTTATTAAGCCAAAGTCTTGCTAGGTAGCTCAAGCCAGCCTTGGCCTTGAATAAGTGACATCCAGTTGCTTTACTTTCCCAAGTGCAGGGATTGCAGGCATGCGCCACCACAGCTGGCTTTCTATCGTCTTAACTGTACAGTTTGACACAATAGTTAACATGTGGCTGCTGTGGCAGACTTCTGTCCTGTGGCGCATGGCCAGTTTGTGTTGAAGAGACTACAGCTAACATCTTTAACCTTCTCTTCAGGCTGTCTTCCACTCTCTTTGTAGCTCCTCAACCAAAAGAGGAGGTTGTCGGTACTTTGGGTGTTCCTTCAGAAAGTTGCTTTACTAAATCCGACACAGCTTGGCAGCCTGAGGAAGTGTGTGGCAGACGGGCAATGGCTACAGATGCTTCCTCTAGCCTAGAACAGAAATCCCAAAAAGAGACTGTGTGTTCCTCAGCAGCATGGACTTAGGACTCCCATTTCTTTATTTCCAATCTTGCTTTAGCCTTGAATCTGTGACTCCATTTCTACTCTTGTGCATAATTCTTACATGATTTTCCTTGTTTTGTAGTGTTAGGAATAGAATTTGGGGCCCTGACCATGGCAGGCAGCATACGCACTGTATCCCCCTGTAGAGCCCAAGCTGGCCTCAAACTCAGAATCCTCCGCTGTAGACTCCCAAGTGTTGGAATTAGCTTCCCAAGTTGCAAATTGCCACACCCAGCACACACTCACCCGTCCTCCTCTGAACAGGGTTTCACTGTCCCCAGGCTGACCTGTTCTCAAACTCACTGTTCCTCAGCCTCCTGAGCTCTAGGTAGGTGTCAGCCACTGCCTCCAGCTCCATTTTCTTAATGATTATATTTAGAAAGCTAGTCTCAAGGGTTTTATTTCAGTTTTTCCTTATTATTAATATATAGTAGTCCTAGCCGATGGCTTTTGAGCCCTTTAACATTTTTCTGTGTTTCTTTTGGGACAGGGTCTTGTTGGCACAGGCTGCCTTCAGGTCCCAGTGCTGTGATTTGTGGGCAGGGACCACCATACCCGGCCTCCCTTCCTAATTTTATGTTACTGAAAAACAAGTGTGTATTTGAAAGGGAAAGAAAGTTCAAAGAGCAAATACTCCCTGAGGAGTTATGTACAAGAAATGAGCAAGCCAATAAACAGCCAAATATTTCTCTTGCTTTAAGTAACTCCAAATGTTTGCTTTTTGTTGTTGTTGTTTTTGATTTTTGTTTTTTGAGACAGGGTTTCTGTGTAGTTCTGGCTGTCCTGGAACTCACTCTGTAGACCAGGCTGACCTCAAACTCACAGAGATCCACCTGCCTTTGCCCTGGGTGCTGAGATTAAAGGCATGTGCCACCACCTTTTTTAAAGAACTCCCTCCCATGGAGAAACACACCCCATGCAGACCTGACATGTGTATGTCCTTATTTGACACAGTCACAAAAGAGGATTACAAAACAAATGGATCCAGAAACTTTAAGGGGAATGAGACTAGGTGAAAATTAATGACATGTTCCCAGAATCCCAGCTAATAATATTAACTGTTCATCATTCTTTTGTTTACATATTACTGCTACTATGTACACCAATGCTGTCCAATAAAGGAGCTAATAAAACAAATGGCAGGGGCTGGAGAGATGGCTCAATGGTTAAGAGCACTGGCTGCTCTTACAGAGGACCCAAGTTCAGTTCCCAACACTAACGCAGAAGCTGACAACCACCTGGAATTCAGTTCCAGAGGCTCCAGCGCTCTCTTCTAGCCTTTGGAACTGAATTCCAGGTGGTTGACATATAGTAAAGTAAGTAAATATTGGGGTTGACGAGACAAGATAGTTCAGAAGAAATGCTGCTCCTGGAGAGGATCCAGGTTTGGTTCCCAGCACCCACACGGCACTCACAGTTACCTGAACTCCAGTTCCAAAGGTTCCAATACCCTCTTTTGGTCTCCAAGGGCACACGCAGGTAAAACACCCATACACATAAAATAATAAATATTTTAAAATATAAAGTTGTTTTTCTTTCAAGTGTTGGATGATTAGGTGTGGTCCCTGCAGTCCCTCTTGTCCCAAGCTTATGTAAATTAATCTCATTATATAGGCCCAGCTGGCCCAGAACTCTCTATGTAGACCAGGCTGGCCTCAGATTCCTGAGTGCTAGGATTACAGGGCTGTGGCACCATACCCAGCTTCTCTGAGGTGGAGCAGCCCTGTCTCCATGCCATTTGCTCCTTGTGTTTGTAGTTCACTTTGTTCACACCGGTCATTGTAGCTCTTATTTTTTGAGATTTATTTTTAATTGTGTCAGGGGCTGGGTGTGTGTGTGTGTGTGTGTGTGTGTGTGTGTGAGCACTGAGGCCAGAGTCATTAGATCCTGTAGCTGGAGTCACCTGATGATGGGTGCCGTGAATTTATCCTGGTTGTCTGCAGGAGCAGCACACACGTGCTAAACCACCTCTCCAGCCCCGTTCTAACTCTGGAACCACACTGTATCACAGTCGTAGTACTTATAACATCTACTGGATATTCCATGTCGCTAGAATATTTCACAAAGGTAATAGACTGTTGTCATTGTGCTTGAAAAAGCATGGTCCAGCAGCTGGCATACAGCGAAGGCTCGATCAGACGGATAACCAACCCTGAGCGCACATCCAGAGCTCTTGCGTGTACACCCTCCCTGGGGTGATGAAGTACTGCAATATCAGAAGGCTAGTTTTCCTTTCTGTTGCTCTTAGTTTTGTTAATTTTTGTTTTATTTTTGTGTGTGGTGTGTTGTGTGTATGTGTATGTGTTCATGTGTAGTGTGGGGGACAGGTCAGTGTTAAGACCTTTCTGTTGTGTACCACCTTACTGTTTGAGACAGGGCTTCTTGCTGGATCTGGAGCATCTGGAGTTTCCTGTCTCCACTTGCCCAAAGCTAGAGTTACAGAGGCAGACGGTCATGTTCGGCTTTTACAGTTATTGAGGTTCTGGATCCAAATCCTAAGCTTGCATGTTCCTGAATGAGTCACCTTCCCAGCCCTTTGCCTTAGTTTTGAAAGATGTAATTTAGCCAGGCATGGCAGCCCAAGTCTATAATCCTCTGACCAAAGAGGTAGAGTCAGGAGGATTAGGACCAAGGCCAGCCTCTACCGCAGAGTTGGTTTGGGGCCAGCCTGAGCTACATAAAATCTTGTCTCACAAAAGCCAAGAACAAAGTTTTTTAAGTGGATGGAGAAATGGCTGCTCTTCCAGGGAACCCAGGTTACCTTTCTAGCACCCATATGGCAGCTCACAACCATCTGCCCCTCCAGTTCCAGGGGGTCTGATGCCCTCTTCTGGCCTCCATGGACACTGTAAGCACATGGTGTACAGAGGTATTTGCAGACAAAACACTCATGCATGAAACTAAAAAACAAAGTTTAAAAAAAGAGTTGTTTTTTTTGAAACAACCAAGAAGTTTTAAGAGGCACTTCAGTGGGGACCTCACTGCGTGTGCTGTAGACCCTACCCAGTATGCTTCTCCCCAATGTAAGCTGTGGGCCAACAGTGTCCCTGTAGAGTTCTCAGGGGGCTGAATGACCCTTTTACAGGGCCGCCTAAGACCATTGGGAAAAAACAGGTATTTATGATTCATACCAGTAGCAAGATTACAGTTAGAAAGTAGCAAGGAAAATAACGTTATGGTGGGGGTAACGTGAGGAGCCGCACTAAAGGGTTGCGGCAGCAGGAAGGTTGAGACCCACTGTCGTGGGCCCTTGTGCAGCTCACACCTAGTTATCTGTGCCGAGCGGATAAAGGATTTTCAGGGAGTTGAGAATCTCAGCAGCATGGAGGCATTTCTAAGCGATCACCTAGAAAAAAATTCAAACAGTGTGACAGTGCCATCCATTTAAAAAAAAAAAATCCTCCCTGTTTACTTTTGTCACCTTGCAAGGCTGAGACGTTTCTCCTGAGCCAGCATTTAGGGCAGCAGCACTTCAGTCCTGAGACAGTCTCCAGCCAGGCTGCTGTAGAAAGAGCATTAGCGTATTCTAATAGCCACTTGAGATGGGAAAATAAAACAAGATAAGGGGCGTGGAAAAGTGGAAGCCATCCGAGTAGCAGCCCACCCCTCACGGCTGTGGTCACGTCAGTCGTTAATGTCCCTGTGCCGAGCTGGAGCTACGTCAGCCATCAGCCCGCTGCACTGAAGCAGAATCGAATCGCTCGTGTCTTCATTACAAGGGTTTCACTTGCATCTACATCCGAGAAAGACTGCTTTGTGGAGGGAATTCTACTCAGGTTGGCTCCAGGACAGTGTGGTTCTAGGTGAATCAATTATTCTCAGTTGAAAACAAGCAGCAGTTCCCTCCTGGATAGTTTCTGTCCCAGTCTGGAGACAGGAAGAGCGGGAACGCTGCACAGTCTCTGGGCCGTCTTTCTATTTATAGGGCATGCTTTGTTCCTCATGTACCGTGCTGACGGGCGAATGCTCTGAATAGAACAGATGCACTAGGCATGGTAACACGTGTTGTGATCCCAGCACTCAGGAGACTACGGCAGGGGACTGAAGCAAAAGGCCAGCCAGAGGCTACATAGTTGAGACCTTGTCTCATAGCTAATAAGTACCAATAAAATATTCCCCTTAAAATTTTGAAATAGTGAGCTAGGAATGTTACACACAGTTGGTAAAACACATTCTTACCGCTTAAGATACCTCAGGTTCCATCCCCGGCACCAAAAATCGAAGTGCATGGTGGGGTAGTCATACTCTGATTTTATAAAAATCACTTTTTAACTGCTTTCAAATATGTGTGAGCCCAGTGCATTAATGCCTGTAACCCGGCTGCCTGGTTTCAGGCCAGCCTGGGCAATTCAGCAAGACCCTCTTTCAAAACTGTGTATGTGTGTGGTGTGTGTGTGTGTGTGTGTGTGTGTGTGTGTGTGTGTGTGTGTGTGTGTCTGGAGATGTAACTCTGAAGGAGAGTGTCAGGTCCAAGGTCTCGGGCTCAGTTCTGCTGGTGCCAGGGGTGCGTGTAGGTGTGAGTGCTGAGCATCTTGTCCTTGCTATGAGCAAAGATCTGGAGTGACTGATGGAAATGAAGGGCGTGAAGCACCTGTCGGAGCTCTGCTGTAGGAGAAAACTGAACAAGATTGATGAGTTTGGTTATAACTGGCTTTTTAAAACATGTCTGTACTGTATTCAAGATCAGCTGAGCCTCTTAGACTAGAAAGGGGCCTTTAGGGTGGTGCAGCTGTGGGTAACCAATGCACTGCAGACAGGTTTTCCTCACACTCTGACTTTACTGTACAGACAAGGTCCTTGCATGAGCCTAAACTCAAGTGACCTTCCCACCTGGACCTCCCAAGTGTCTGGGACCCTAGGTCCGTGCTACTGAGCCAACTCGTTGTGTGCTCTTATTTCTCACTCTGCCGTCTGTCTAGAAATCATGTCGATTTCTTATTTTCAATACTTTCCATGCACCAGTTCACCACTTAGATATATATGTGGATTTTTCTTTCTTCTTGCCTCCTTTTGCTGATGTTTAAGAAAAAACTCCTGGATAAATTCCTGGATAGCACTAGATAGTCTCCAGTGGGGGGTATATGTCCTGGAAATTGAAGGTGCGCAGGTCAGTGTCTGAACAAACAGTGGAGAAGGTGCTTACCCACAGTCCCTTCTGTGCCGTCCATCTCCTTTGGGATGCAGTGAGCAGAAAGGTCACTCTGGAGGACTTCGTCTGATGTGGCTCTGGCCAAAGCAGCAGCCAGAAAGGAAGGGCAGTTACTGAAAGAGAAACACAAGCAATCCTCAGTAAGAACTTAGACGTGAGGCTTTAGTGCACCGTAACACCTGCCGTCGTGTCTTATCCCAGAACTGCCCCTTAACATCCAGCAAATGACTGAGCGCGTTAGCTAACAGGCCCTGCTGGGCGCTGGACAGACAGTAGTCCATCTCCCAGGCTAGGTGGACAGGCGGTAAGCAGGGCAATCAAAAGATAAGCTTTATGAGAGGAACAACACAGTGGCTCCACAGTGGTGCCTACCTAGACTGGGTGCCAGTCATGCCATGCCCTTAAATATGAGAAAGACTGTTATGAGGAAGTGGTAGGCGGGGTGAAATACTCCAGGCTAGCATTGCCCAGACCATAAGAGCTTAAGAGAAGTCATGGGGATTTTTGAGCAGGTAAGTGCCACCATGAGAGAAGAGCTAAAGTATTCCCTGGTTTGTATGCCAAAGGAAATCAGAATGTAGCAGGAATGAAAATCCATGGAAGGGAAGAGGAGGAAGCGGGGAGGAGGAGGGGCAGGAAGAGGAGCGGGAGGAGGAAGAGTAGGAGGGTGTATTTTGGAGAAAGATGCTGTAGAACTTGCTGACAGTTGTGTCGAGGTGAGTGAAGGGCTGAGAGTGAGTCCTGAGTTTGTCTGAGCAGCTACGTGGGAGGGCAGGAACCAGGACAAGAGGTTTGAGGATGTGGGCTAATGTAGAAAACAAGAGTTCATTGTAGCTGTTAAGCTGGAAACAGCGATGAGATATTTTATAAAGGTATAAAATGATTAACTGGATTTTAGAGAGAGGTGCAGATGTTAGGAAATTGGGAATGACAAACTTTAAAGCGACAGGAATAGAAATAGTCACACAGGAGGAATCGGAACAACTGTGTTCTCCTTTGGAGTGGGACGGTTGCTCTGTGCCCTGCTGTTGCATATGCTGTGGAAAGCGGGGCAGCGGGTATCTGCCTTGTTAGTGCCTGAGTTTTCAGGTGAAGGCAACTCTAGACAAGGAGCTGTATTGTGGGGTCTCACTAGCACATAGGGAGATCTTGACTCCCAAGCCTGAGCCTCATGCAGTTGTGGATGAGGTTTTGGGAGACACTGGAGGGGGGGGTCGCATGTGTGGATGCTGTGAACTGTGACCAGAAGGCCATGGCAGACTGTCTGTCTGTAGCAGGCCGTGGCAGTTTCTGCTCTCACATTGCTTTTGCATACACGGCTCCAACCCAGGCATGCTAGCCCAGTGCCTTGCCGTCGAGTCCCAGCTGCAGGACCCATGCTGCAGTTTGCTGCTGTTCCTTTACATGGGCTAAGACTTGGGAACTGTTTTTCTGGATTGGGGGCGGGGGGCGTGAGTAGGCTCTTTGGCTATCCTGGCTTCTTGCTTTCTTCCTCTCTCCTTCTAGATTGCTTGTTCTTGGACCCCAGCAGCCGTACTGTGAGGAAGCCCAAACCAGCCAACTTGGAGAAACAGCATGTCAAGGGTCACATGGATATGAACTGAGGTCCCTGCCTCCAGCTAGCAGCCACCATCAGCTGCCTGATGTGTAAATGCACAGAGCTCCAGACAACACCAGTCTCCAGCCTGAGGCTTCAGATGTGGAACAGAGATGGGAACTTCGCTGTGCCAGTCTGAAATCCTGAGCAAGAAACTATAGTATAATAAATGACTTTATTATGTCACTAAGTTTTGTCATGATTTGTTAGATAGCCACTGTAACTGAAAACCCAGTATTTTAAAGCTTGCTAGAAGATAGGATCTGTTATAGAGACTAAAATAGCTAGGCATGGTAGTGTATAATCCCAGCACTCGAGAGGCAGGGAGTCTGTGAGTCGGTCCAGCCTGACCTACAGAGTGAGTTCCAGGCCAGCCAGGGCTACACAGTGAGACCCTGTCTCAAAATAAATAATACCCACCTCCCCACTCCCCCCAAAAGACTGAAAGAGGAACTCTAAGAGCGGAGTCGAGGGAGTTGAGTGTTTGAAGAGGGGAATGGCTGCTAAGGGGGCCAAATGTGGAAGGGAAAGGAATATTTAATATAACAACATGTAAATAAATCATCACTGACTGGGTAACAAAATAATGTAAAGGGAGGAAAAATGTCTCAAAAATGGAACCGGGGGGGGGAATTAAGCTTGATCCTCATATATAAAAATACCAATTAAAAGTGCATTGCAGGGGGGCTGCTTATGCTTGTCTGGTGTGCAGAGACCCTGAATTCAAGCCCTAATTGCTTCCTCTCTCCCCTAAAAAAAGAAGAGACGATTGACAGCAAGCATTAATCTGACATCAGACGCCAGGACTCTGTACACAGCTTAGTGGGCACAGAACAATGTGGCTGCTTTATCAGCAGCCTGGGATTCAATATAAAGTTACTGTATGGCGTGGCAAACCTCCTAGAGATAGATATGCCTTAGAAATGAGAGCACACGGACACACGTCACAGCAGAAATAAAATGCAGCAGATACAGAGCGTGGCATCTCTTTAATATTTATTTTATGAGTAGGGGTGCTTTGCCAGCATGTAAATCTGTGTACCGTGTGTGTGCCCGGTGCATGAAGAGGTCAGTAAGGATCATCAGATCCCTTTGAATTGGAGTTGCAGATGGTTGTGAGTCACCATGTGGGCGCTGGGTGCTTTTAGCCATTAAAAGGGGCAAAGCACTTACACATGCAACAGCATAGATGAGCCTTGGAGATCTGCTGGCAGAAGGCCACACTAAAGGCCGTGTATTATAGAGATGCAGTTGGGTAAATCTGTAGAAGGGAAGTGGTGCATCAGGGATGAAGTCCAGTCTATATGGAATACCAGCCTTTGACGGGATGAAGACAGTGCCTTAGATGAGAAAAGAAGGACGGACCTGGGTAGTGGCGCACCCCTTTAAACCCAGCACTCGGGAGGCAGAGGCAGCCTGATCTACAAAGTGGGACAGCCAGGGTTACACAGAGAAACCCTGTCCAAAAAAATGGTTAAAAAAAAAAAAAAAAACAAAGGAGAGGGAGGGTAGCCAAGCAGTTAGTATATGTCCAGGTAGGTTTTCTATTTGCTATAGGGAAGTGAGGGCAATCACCTCTAACAGTGTGACTAAGAAACCCACCCAGGTGCTTTTCTGGGGCTTGCATGCCTGGTGCCAGGCTCTATTCTACTGCTTGAGATCTATATGAGCAGGAACCATAAGCCCCTGCCCTCCTAGTGCCTACACCAGAGGGAGGTTTCTCAATGGATCAGCTCTCAAACCTTTCCAGGCGTGAGGATCACCCATGGATCTGGTTAAAACACTAAAGGATTGTGGGGCCCTCCCATCGAGGTTCTCACTTAGCAGGCTGGGGGAGGCCAGAGAATCTTCACTTCTAACCAGTCCCTGGAGAAGGTAGGCAGTGCTCAGTGACTGGTGACGTGTGAGACACTGTCAGTACATAGGAAGCTCCTCCTGTCTGTGTTCCTGCGCTAGCGTGTATGCAGATAAAAGACTCGCCTTGTTTGCCAAGATTTGGGGTTTTACAGGGTGGCATAGTACAGCCAATTAAAGGTGTGGGAATTGCATTATCTTTTTAAGTACGTGATTATAATGGTAGGCCTTGGACTCGTAAGTTGTCCGAGAAAGAATAGATGTTGTAAACCAGTGTGGTCTAAATGAAAATGAAGAGTTGTGGGTGAAAGTACTTGGCTTCACAATCCAGGACACATGCTCTAATCTGAGACTAGGATGCCATGTGCACCATCTTGGAGTTGGTGCAGTTACTAGGGAGGTCGGGTGAGGCCAGAGACCTGGCTCAGAAACACGGAAACGCAGGGCTTACACTCCAGACCTCGAGGGAAGATAGGTCTTCAAACTCCCTTTCTCATTCCTTAGTACGTGTGTGTGTGTGTGTGTGTGTGTATGTGTGTGTGTGTGTGTTCACGTGTCCAGATGCATGCGGGAGGGTGTGTGTGTGTGAGGAGTACACATACACGTCTGCACGAGTATGTTCATTCTCAGGGTGACTGTCCACTTTTGCCTCCTTGGAGTTGGGGTTGACTGACTGGCTAGTGGACGCTGGGGCTCTGCTGTCTCTGTGGCCGCAGCACCGAGGTTACAGGCATTCTGGGAACCGACCTCGAGTGCTCACGCTGCAGGCACTCTCCAGGCTCTCAGCAGTCCTTTTTAAAATGTAGGTTATGGTGTAAATGAATAATGAAATGGCTGGAGTTGTGACCTGTTGTCTACGTTAGCAGCGTTGGGCATTGTCACCTGAACTGTGCCCTTTGCCCTTTTCCATTAGAAAACTTACAGCTGTTCATTCATTATTCATTCATTCATTCATTCATCTGTTCGGAGGGGGCGGGGAGCACATGCAAGTCAGAGGACAACCTGCTCCTTCCACTGTGTGGGCTCTGGGGATGGAACCCAAGTGATCAAGTTTGGTTGGAAACACCTGTAATCCAGAGGCCCCTGGTTCTCAACCCGTGGGTTATGACTCCTTGGGTCGCATATCAGAATTCATAGCAGTAGCAAAATTACAATTATGAAATAGCAACAGAAAAAATGTTATGGCCGGAGGTCACCACGACAGAGGAGCCGTATTAAAGGCTGCGACACTAGGGAGGTTGAGGACCCACTGGTGCTGCTGACCTTAGTTTTTATTTTGACATGAGGTTTCTCTCACGACACTGCCCAAACGAGTCCCGAACTTGAAAGCATTCTGAGACTGGGGTTTCAGGCCGGCACCCCACAATCAGTTATAACTAGCTGTCTCTGCTCTGCTTTGCTCTGGGTGTGGTCTACAGCTCCGTGCACGGTAGGCAAGCAGTGCAGCTGAGCGGAGTAGTATTCCAGGTGTGCTGGAGGTCACTTCTCACATCTGCTGCTCCTTAGCAGCTACGGAACGCAGGCTCAAAGGCTGCGTGAATCGGGTCTCCTCGCCTCCGTCATCGCTGTCTAGACGACTGACCTCCTCTTGGGGACTCGAAGGTTCCTGCCACCTGTATGGGTTGCCTTCACATCTTTCAGGTTTTACTCTGATCTAATCAG